TTCTAGTTAAGATATGCCGTGTTTTAGGTTAGTGAAAATGGGTATCAGACTTGCCAGACATAGCATGTCGCTTAGTTGTCAGTTGTGCTACTTTCTTTACGTTGAGTAAATGTCTCAGACTCGTGAGACATACGAGTAGCATGACGCTTACGGTCAGCTACGATACTTACTTCACGTAGAGTAAATGTCTTAGATTCGCGAGTCAGTGCTCATCATCTCGAACCTAAAGCGTTCTTTATATTCGTATCTCTTAAGGGTTAGTGAGACTTCTAGGGTTATACAACAGCTCTTCCAGATCTCCGATTTTTCATCAATTAGAAGTGCTTATCACGTCGAATAACTTTTGTTGATGCGTTATATTTATATCTCTTAAAGTTGGGTTGCTAAGGTTACACAGCAGTCGTTCCAGATCTTCGATTTTTACGCATCAATAGAAAATTTTCATCATATTAAATAATTCTTCCTAAGGCATTGAATTACTATCTCTTATGGTGTAACTGGGTTGCTAGGGTTCTACATCAGATATTTCGATCTTCAAAATCATTTGTAACCTATATGTTTCCGAGGACTCAGTGACCAAGTGGATTTTTTAAGCATTTTATATTAAGAATAAATTTCAGTATAGCATTGTGAATGCAAAATAAATTAAAATATAATAATTTCTATACAACAAAAAAACTTTCATCAAAATCTGTACAGTAGTTTTTGTGTGAAAGGCGAAAGACAGACAGACAGACAAAAATTTCAAGTCATGTTTTTGACTCTTGTAAATTATATCAAGACCTCTTGAAATATTTTTTTATTATTTCAATTTAATGTACATACTTTATACCCTGTACAATTTTATTGTATTTATAGATCATAAAACTGCTTTTCCTGCTTCATATAAGTAAAGATATAGGTATTTTTTTTAATTAAAAAAATCCATCATCTCATTGATTATCTAGTAAGCTTTAGTGCTCAATGATGTTGATTTTGATGAGAATTTGATATCTGAAGCCAGGATGACCTCAAATAATATATCTCTGTAAAAATGAAGTGGTTAATTAATTGTCAAGTCATCTCGTTAAGCTTATCGGCTTATCGATTAAGTAACTGTCTGTCATACTGTGATCGTACTCTGACCTTAAATTGCTGACGTCGTTAGTTGAAATTCCGAAAAAGCTTTGAATAATTTTGAGGTTGATTTTGTAAATTGTAGAATGTTTGTAAAATAAACATTGTTTAGGAAAAGTTAGTAATTTATAATTAGGTTGTTATTTGAACATAGAGAATATATCGATTACAACGGCAACCAATATTGAAGGATACACAGTAAACTGGCAGTAAATATAGTCTGATGACAGAAAATTTCAGGTTGCAGTATGGTATTCACTTGAATACTAATTCGTATTACTTAAAAAGTATAGCAAAGAGAACAATGAAAAAGCTTTGTTATTAGGATAGTTAACATGAAACTTATTGATTTGTCTAAAACCATTTCATAAACAATCATGCTTTTTATTATTTTATCGAGTTAAATTTTTTTTGTTTTCATAAATCCTTGAATTATACAATATTTATAATTTATTATAAAAATCGATACAACAACAAAATAAATATTTTTCAACAAAGACAAATTAGCCAGTAAATTAACCTCAAATGTCGTAATAAAAGAATGTCGAGAAGTAGACAAAGTAACAGATAATAATAATAATGTGCCTACTATATAATATACATGAAAGACGAACTGTTCTATTTTTAAGAATACATCTCAATGAGGAAGTATTTAAAAAAAAAACGAAAGCACTTAAAAAGCACCTCCACTAGATGGCGACTCTAGCAAAAGTTGATTTTTGCAGGAAACGAATGGACCAAAGACAGTAATTTCCGTTCCTTTTAACTAACATATTAAAAAACTGAAATTTGAAAAGCTCGAAACTTACATATCAATACAAACACGAAAAAGAATAAATATAATATGAGTTGAGTTTTGAAACTAATTTACTTTTAAACTTGAAAGAAAACCGGAAAGTTTGTCATGGAGAAATCAAGAATGTACCGTAGCGACATCTAGTTTGATTTCGGGAACTAATGTTTTTTTTTTAAATACTTCCTCATCGATTTCACTTTATTGAACTGTGAAAGATAATTGAAAATATAAATTTACTTTTAAATTTGAACAATTTTACATTCACAATGCTATACAAAAATATATTCTTAGTGAAAAATGCTTAAAAATCCACTTTGTCCCAGGCACTGTGGGATGGGACTTGAACTCATGACCTTGCGCAATCCGGGTGATGACGGGTGTGTCGGGGGCACGAATCCCTTCTCAGAGGCCCAGGGACAAAGTTTTATAAGCATTTTTCATTAAGAATTTTCTTTCCGTATAGCATTACGAATGCAAAAATAATCAAATATACTAGCTCAAGTTATATCCAGAAAGCTATTAATGTATATAAATTCTTGAACGCAACGTAATTGTATTCATGTTTCACATTCAACGCACAGAGGATATAATGGAAAACCTCGAAACTCCGTCCAGCCCTGGTAACACGGATGTCGAGGATACGTGACCGGGAGAGCTAAATACTTAACTCAGTACCTTATTTTCATCAACTTTTTAGGGAGTTTGGTTTGACATTTTCGTGAAGGTCTCGTGCATTTTATAACAGTTTTAATACGTAAAGGGTTTAGCCGGATACGTATGACGAGTCGGCCCCCAAATGGGAATCGATATTGAAACTTATGTGTTAATATCGACTTGATGTTCAAACACGATTTATGTACTTTTCGCGACCGACTTCCGCTTTGACCTTGAGATAGAGAGCAAAATATCCGTATGCTTGACTATTACTGAATGTGATATATCTCTGAAGCTAATTAAGATAAAGAAGTGAAACTAACGCGAGGTGTTAGGTTACATTACAGAGTATATCACATATATTTTTTTATAATTTTTAGAATAAAAAATTACATTAAAAAAATAAAAAATAAAAAAAATCATGTTTTTTTTCTGAGTTCTCTGTGACTTACAATCACGAAATTAATATATGTTATGCTCCTTTGTGTGCTCTATTACCCATAAAAATTGCGTGAAAAAAAAGTTGGTGCAACACAACGAAAAAAAATATATGTGATTTCTGTCTTATGGTATACCCCTGTATTATAAGGTTTTCACATTACATCATTGTTTTTTTTTTCGAAATTTCACATCAGCTTGTTTTAAAACATAAGTAACTAGTCTTAAGAGATGGGATAATAGTTAAAAAAGAAATGAAAAAAAAAAACAGCCAGTGTTCAATACTTATTATTATTACTTTTTCGTGTCTATCAAAATACGAGAAACAAAATATTAATCATCGTCACTGTTGTAATTAATTACAATCGGAACACTTTGACTCGCAAATAACTTAGTTAGGACCTCAGCAGGACGTACGATTTTGGACAAATATCATCCATATGATAGATAATAAATAATAGCTGCTACAAGAGAACAGCATCCCACTGTACGTTCGCCATTGGGGCAATCACAGCAATAACGAAGAATACTATTGTAGTCATTACCTTCGGAAATATAGTGAATGTAAATTCGATAGACTTTTCTATTTATATGTCTTGATTTTACTTCTGCTTTGATGATATTAGGTGCTGATTTCACATATTGTACTGAGAGATTATTTTGATCGTCCATTATTTCGGCCAAGTTAAATGCTGCACATTTAGAAGTAGAAGCTTTTTTGTTAATATATGGGATAAGTCGACACTTCTTACAAAAAATATCATTAACTATTACGATTTTATTCAAACAGTCACTAAACACTTTAGCTTCTTCTTCATTCTTTATAATTTTTTAATAACCAGGAATCTTACACAGGTACTTGTTACAATTTTTACACTTTGTCGACATTATTACTTAATAATGATTTGGTTCGATAGTTAATAATTTCAAAATGCTGATACAAAAAACCTATGACAGAATTTGAGTCCCAAACTGCCTTCTTGTGTAATACAAATGACTGCTACTTTAGCTAAACAAACGATGCAGTAAACAGCTCGATAACAAGTTCGAACTTGTTTGTTTATACACTCACACTACAAGGCGCGAATCACATATAATTTTTTTTCGTTGTGTTGCACCAACTTTTTTTTCACGCAATTTTTATGGGTGATAGAGCACACAAAGGAGCATAACATATATTAATTTCGTGATTGTAAGTCACAGAGAACTCAGAAAAAAAAAACATGTTTTTTTTTATTTTTATTTTTTAATGTAATTTTTTATTCTAAAAATTATAAAAAAATATATGTGATATACTCTGTAATGTAACCTAACACCTCGCGTTAGTTTCACTTCTTTATCTTAATTAGCTTCAGAGATATATCACATTCAGTAATAGTCAAGCATACGGATATTTTGCTCTCTATCTCAAGGTCAAAGCGGAAGTCGGTCGCGAAAAGTACATAAATCGTGTTTGAACATCAAGTCGATATTAAAACATAAGTTTCAATATCGATTCCCATTTGGGGGCCGACTCGTCATACGTATCCGGCTAAACCCTTTAAGTCAGAGTATAATGTTTATCGACGGTTTTATATTATACCTTTAAGCGAGCAATCTTGGGCACTACTCCAACAATATTCATGAAATTTAGAATTTTCATGGGCAATAAAAAGATCTTTAAACGTATGATATCATTAAGAATTTTTGGCATGAGAAATATAAAGGTATTAAATTATTACGTGTTTATATTTTTAAGAAAGTGTATTTGTAAGTGAAAGAACCTAGTTATATCAATAATAACTGGATTAAATAAAAGCTGTTGAATCCTCTTTACAGTTAAATTCACAATAGACAAATCTTCTATGATGGCTTTCATAAATAAAAAGGAATAAATAGTGTTGCGTTTTCGTGGGTTAGATTCGATGGTTTTTGAGCGAATCTAATTTAAAGTTCGATTTATAAGTAACATTGTTATGATATCCGCTATTTTTTTATGTTATGATAACTTTGATATTTAGGTTTCCATTTTTATGTTAAGCAATATTAACGTGCTTAAGTTGTTACTCTTCTTTGATGTGAGGTCGAATTTGACGTTCGAAATGGCCTTGATCGTTGAATCTGTTGTATTGCCTAACTACCAAAAAAAAAGATTTTTTTTACATTAAGCTAGGTTATTTCTAACACAAATCTTACGGTACCTAATTTATATGCAATGTAGGTAATTTACGAGTATGAAACAACATCACCTACATTGCTCAGATTCCAAGATGAGAAGCTGAAGCCCCCGTCTTATCTCTATAATCTCTATAATCCCGTAGTATCTGATAGAGATGTATAAATAGGGGATGTTTGTATGGAAGTTGCTTGCTAGAAGTAACCATACGCAAATGAAGTCGCGGGCAAATGTTAGATAACAGAATTATAAACATGTAACAGAATTATTATATAAATAAGTAGAACTACAGAATTACCATCTCTTGGGTTTACACGTTCTTTATTCCGATTCTTGGGACACAAAATAGTTCAATATTAAATTAACTTTTGGTTAGTTCCTCTGCTGTGAAACAGTGTGCCAATATAGGGTACTGTTTAACTATCTGTTGAAATCAAACGTGACGTGACTCATTGCAATAAGGGCAAAATTCTGGAAGCACGTACTTACCTCGAGATTGCTAACTTAGTTAGATGTTTTCACCCAATTATAGATACCCAGAAGAAAACTAATTTCATTAGAATAAAATAACGCTGAGTGCATGTCAATATGGCATTGATTAAGTTACATACGTGTTTATTATTATTAATAATTAAAGAAATAATAAACCTTTTTATATTCCGTTCATAAGTAAAATACTTCGTAACAAATTATAATTCAATGTTTGATAAATAATACTTTCGCAGTTGCTATATTAATATTTATTTGCGTGTTCTAACTCCGTTGTCTTTTATGGGTTATAATACCGTTTCTAGTAATTTAAAATGGATTGATTTCATTAGTTTTGTTTTGGAAAATATAAGGTTTAATCATGGCATATATTTTGTATGTTAACTACATTACAATAAAATGGAATATAATGCTAAAGCATGTTTCTCACGTACATTATTTGTAGCTCAAAAAGGATTTCTTTTTTTTTTGTAAATTGAATTCTGAGCGCGCCGTATATCGTCTGCGCCGTATCCAAGTAATAAGCACCGTATGTCCATCGGGACTAATTTATCTTCATTATCATTATCACCAGCCCTTTTACGTCCCCACTGCAGGGGCTCAGGCCTTCCTTATGGATGGTTAAGGAGGATGGGCCATGACCCTCCACGCTGGCCCAATGCGGATTGGAGGGTACTAACGACTGCAAATGCAGCCGGGACCAACGGCTTAACGTGCCTTCCGAAGCACAGAGTAGCTCGAGATATTTTTTTGTCACCTATCCCATGACCGACCCTTGCGAAAGTTGCTTAACGACTACGATCGTGGGCCTTGGCGCTTATCCACTACGCCTACTCGATACGAGCTACTCTCTCTCTAATTTATCTTTGAAATGGTAGAATCGTCCAGATTAACTATAAACTAACAAAATTTTAATAATGTCAAAAGATAGAAACAAAACTACGCATTTAATATAAAGTAAAATTTGATCTAGCCTCATAGACATATACATTTGTATTTTAATATTAGAGCACATTCCAAATATAATCTGTGCAATATAAATCTCTCAAGTACATCAATAAATAACTTTAGGAAACCAGTCACGCGAACGTGCACAACGAAAATCTGTAGCGCTTTGCACTCCGTGACTCTCTGGAGATAACGACATTGCTAAATGCAACAGAATTTTTCAATTAATCTCGAAGACGATCACGACCCATCCAAACGCGAAATGCAAGCAAAAACAAGATTGAGAGATACCCGATAACAATACAAATACAAATAGCTACAAATAGCTTTTTTTAAGAAAATTACTACTGATGTTATGGTGGACTCTTTTAGATTTGTGTTTTAATTTTAATTTTCATGAATGATCGTTTCGAATGGAATTTCAAGTTGTAGGAGGATGACAATACCTAATTTATAATTTAAACTTGCCAACAATGCAAAATATATGTTTACTAAAGCGGGAATGTTGCATGTTATTCATACAACAAATCCTGTTAAACTTAGTTGGTGCACTCCTTTACCAAAACTTGAATAGACAATGTAGGAAATGCTTGTTCACTCGATTTTAGGAGACATTTTAGTAGACACATGTATGTTTTAGTTAATCATTGAACTGATATATTCCATCCATAGACCCGTGCCTCATGGATCATATTATGGGATGATGATGTCTGTAAAACTAAGAGCAATAATTTAATAATTTTATTTAATTTTTCATTGACTTGTTAATTTTTTCTTTAACATTTTTAAGAGATATTGTTTTTATATTCGATAAAAAAGAAATATCACAGTTTTAGAGAAATGTTATTAACGGTTTTAAGATACTTGAACTAGTATAATTTACATTATATTAATGTTGTAGACAGGAGAAACAGGTCTTTGTTTCATGAAAGATATAATCCTTATAAAAATCACGTCCGTAAACATGTTAACAATAATACACTGCTGTTTCTTTAGATCGGGTCACGTTGAAAGACATTCTGTAAGTTACCTTAATCATAGCTTTCAGCATGGCATATCTGGTGAACACGTTTCTCTGCGCCTTTGACTCGCTGTAGCGCGCCATCAGGGTGACTAGAGCTTTCTTCGCCGTGTCATAGTTCTCATCGAGGCGCACGCGCACGTTACGAAGTCGCTCGTTCGTTTCTATCACCTCCTCCTTTGTTTGACCACCTAGAAATAAATACAGAGCTATTTTATAATATGTAATATCTACTACTATAGCCAAGTAGTTTATATGTCGGTTCCTAGATGTCGCAGCCTTTGTGGTTTCGAGTACCATTAAAATAGAAAGTGATGTTTTCACACTGTCTCGAGTTTGAGTAGTTTATTAAATTACGACTGATAGTCTTAATCTTATTAACTAAAACCGTGGCCTACATAAATGAATTTATAAGTATATCGTATTGGTAATCTTATTATAGTAATTATGACTGATTTAAAAAAAAATCTATTAAGTCCATCAGTCAGATAATAGAAAAATATCAGAAACATACTCTTACACTACAGATTAACAAGAAATGGCTTATATGATAGGCATTAAAGTTGAGGAAACTCGTTAAGTCACAACTATGTGACACTGTGATTTAATGATTAAGAAGAAAAATAAAAAAAATACTTGTTTTATGTTCTTCAATATACTAACTGACGGACAAACGAACAAAAGATTAGTCATCATCCCTATTGCTCACATTTCGGAATTCGTATACATTAGAAGTGTTTGGTCTCTGTCCATTTTATGTGCCATGTTAATTAATTCCCATAATGAAATGGTTTCCAATCGCAAATGTTTTTTGCTTAATTAAATCACATTATTGACCAATATAGTTAACGTAACGTTATTTCGTGAATGAATTGAATCGAATCTCTTTTGATGTGGTCATAAAATCTTGTATTTGCTTGTGTTATATGATGTAAACGATGAATATTTAAGAAATATATAATTAAAAAAATATATCAGCCAGAAAAAAATGATCTTTCGATTGAAAGCTCTCAGAATTTTGTATGTGTCCAGAATACAGATTAAGTTGAGATTATTCAAGGAAGTTATATTCGTGGTAAAACTTTTCAAAAGCGCGTTTTAAGTAAGAGTTCAGTTTGCAGCAATGAGGTTTTCGTAACATGATTGCACAACGGAAAATGTTAAGATAAGGATGAAAAATCGTTAAGTATAATATATTTTCTCCACATGATACATGATTTCCTTTTTATTTTGTATTAATGTACTTATACATTATTTTTGCTTTTTTGCTTAAAGTAACAGCTGTAAATTCGATTTCATTGATTCATTAACAGTGTTCATTTTTTATGTTATTTATCACCGAATATCAGACTATCATTGTCCAATAAGACAACTATGACCGGACTTGTAATCAACTTTAAGGTGTTGTCACCACTAAAGTCTCAGATTCATTTCCAGGCGTGGTCAATATAGAAAACGAACGTCATTAGATTGTCTGAATCTGGTAGCTTTTTAAGTTTCCATAAAACAAGGCTATTTATAAAATATATACAAACTAAAAAATCTTTGATGAAAATAATATTCTCAGCATATTTATATAGCAGTGAAGGGACCGATTACCCGTAAGGTGTTTTGAACAAATCAGAATAAAGTTAGAAACAATGAATTCATTGTGATATTTCGCACTTTATTACACAAAACGCTGAAATAATAGTTCTCACCATACTGAGTTGCGATGGGCTGATTATATTAAAATTGCCTACAATAGAACCTTCGGCGATCTCGAGGCTCTAATGAATTGTGAGCCTCACGTACCGACAAGCTTGTCTACACAAATCAATGATTGGGCCTTTGACAGGTACGTATTTGCTTAAATATTTACTATATAAGCAAAATAAGTAATAAACATTATTCTACGCGTTTCTCGTGGTAAGATAAAAACCTTTAAAGAAGAAAATCTACGATGACAGTACACCAATGAGACTTCATTTTTCTTATTCCTATTATGAGTTATAATCGATAATTCAATAAAAGATATCCAAACTCTATTTAGTTGACAGTAATAAATATTAGATTAGAAGAATATCACACACACACTGCCCAGAGTCCTAGTTAAATATCTAAAACAATAATTGTATAACGAAAATCTGAAATAATATACCACATAAAAGACAATAAATATATTCTTTATTTTCAGAGATGGCGAAACATTAAACCAGATATAAGTTATTCGGTCACTGAGGTAATTTATTAATAGGATTTGGACACTTTCTTTTCTTTATAATAAACTGCATCACTTGTAACATTGACTCTGGTTTCTATTCACTTTCGAATGAAATTTATAGAAGCTAAAGTTGATATTATACGGCCCTGTTTAGCGCCCGTATTGCTAAATATGTTGTTTACAGGACTAGTCTCTCGGTCCAACATTGGTATTCTGCCCCGACCTCGATGAATTGGCACGTTTCTATGTAAGAGGGAAAAACAGTGGCGCTTCTGACTAATTTTTAGCTTATTTTATTGACTTTGATATATGCTGCAGGAACCGGTTACAAAATTTGTTTTAATATACTGGATTTTAACATATGTTACGCACCCTACTCAATACTCATTAAATAAAACTACTTAAATATATATAACGCTAAACGCCTTGATTTCATTTTTATATTTTACGGAGCCTTTACAGGTTACGTGTTCATTTCTACAAAAATCAGTGATATCCGTTTAAAAAAAGTTGCTTTATTTTTTTTATATAAGATAATGTTCTGTTGGAATTAAATAACAACTGTTCAGTTTTTCATAATGTCAAAACGAAAACTTAGTTCTACAATTACGTTATCTCTAAATTCCCGTACTCGTTTCAAGTCTTATTTATGAAGAGATCTATTTTTTTACATTGTCTTGGATCTGGGAGGTTGGGATGGGATTCTATATGATAAGGGTTTTAACTATTTAGTTTCAGATAGGTAAACTAAAAATAATTATATTTAATATTTATATAAGCATGAGTTATTTAAGCTTTTGAACAGTAGACAAACTGGTACTCACTAGAGGTGCCTTCATCCTTTACGTCTTGAACTATCCGCCGGACACTCTGCGTGAACTTCCCCACTAAGTTTGTGCTCGCTGAAACAAAACAAGGGGTAAAAATAAATTTCCAAGTGGAACTGGTGGCAATAAATGGAAGAGTGTCAAAAAATTACCTTATTTCCAAAATTTAATATTTATCAGTAGATAGATAAATTATTTATATTTATTCTTTGAGAACGGAATTTTATATGAAATTATAATATAAATAGGAACCTGTACTTTAAATGACAATTTTATGTAAAATTCCGTTCTAAAAGAATTAATTAATATTTTCGAATTGTCTAATTTACTCGAATACGTTTGTGTTTCAATTTCCTTTAATTCTAAGACACAAATTGTTTTATCGATCCTATCATTCAACTGATCGCTTTGAACAGGACCTATTTACTTAAAATATACTGAACTGATTTTTTTATTAATTTCTGTTAAGTAATTAATCAAACAGCTTAGTTTCGAATTCTGACTGTCCAATTGTCAGTGTTCGATAATCCAGTTTCATCCTTTGGGTATTCAGTGCAAACTTTGGTCACATAAGTTGGCAACACGTTAATGCACTCTATTGCCTAACTTAAGTCGATGAATAGTGAGAGATCTCGTGGAATTATTCTAACATTTAAATATAATCAGTATTTAAATGTAGTTCTAACTGGAATTAAAAAACGAATACTTATTTTCTTGCAATTTAATTTCTCTTGCGATTATTAAGACATTGTCGCAGTAAAACGGAATGAGCAAGAGTCGTATCCCACTCCAACTTATATCCTGTTGAAAAGTAGAGTTCTTCCTGCAACTTATATTTCGGGATAGTTATCTCTGGAAATCCTTGTAATAGGACGAATAATATCTAAAATATAATCACTGTAATAAAACAACTTATACAATTATAAACAAACTTTATCGAAATATTATAATTACGTACAAAATTAACTCATCAATTTTACCATCCATAAAGGCGTTCTGTATTGAATTTCAAATGGTGTGATTGAATTGAAGATAATACGATTTCAAAGAGCTTTTTAATTATTCAGGGTGGCGGTGGCACACAGTAGCAGCGGCGTTCCGATAAGTAAAACCATTAAGTCAGGAGGGGTGTAATGGCTGTTAGGATCATTAATCCTTTGTTTCGAAACTACTTCGTGTTAAAATTTGATCATCTGACTTTTTGGGACACAGTACAATCTGATGATTGTACTATAATTAGTTCTCATACAAAATACTTTGTAACATTTTAATTTTAACGACTTTAACGTTATATTTGATCAATTTTGCATTCACAATACTATACTGAAAAATGTTCTTAATGAACAATGCTTAATAAATTCACTTTACCAGTAACTCGACTCTTTAACAACTCTTTAAATAGCTTTATTTATTTAAATAAAATTAGCGAAACAGGAGTTAAATTATCACAAAATTTTACTAGTTAGTCATTAGTGCTTGCATATTTTCAAAGAAATTAAAACAATAGCTATATAATCTGCTATATTTCGTTTAATGTTACCTATATGAAAATTCTGTGTGATTGATACTCAACCCCTAATTCAAACACTAAATGTTTTTTTCATATTTGTACACATTTACAAATTTGTATACCTAATACAATTAATTTGTGAATATTTTTGTTTGTAAATTACCAGGGACTGGTACTCTGAGATGGGATTCGAACCCATGACAAAATAGATTTTGAAGCATTTTCGTTAAGGGCAATTTCGTTTTATTCTAGTACTTAGTCTTGCTTTATTAAATTTAAATGTTTATTGATTACTTAACATTTGAATTTTGTTAAATAAAGCTTTATTCTCACACGCATAAATGAAGCCTCCTTTAGTCCTGGTACAGTTTCATTGATCCGAGTATTGTTTCGTATATTATTCTCTTTCTGTGAACCAAATATCTTTTACCTGTCAGTGTCAGTGATGTGACAGTCCTCGTCATCTGGTCGGATGTGACCGACGATGAATTTTTTTTCGAATTACAGATGCATTTTAGTAGACAGAAAGTTAATATTTAGATTTTAGTTTAAATATTCAGTATTTATTTAAATAATGTTAGGAATTCTCTTAATAATCTAAAGCAATTGCTATTATTGCTAGTTAATATCAATATAAAATCAGGCAGTTTCATTAATTATATTTGAACTAGGTATATACTTGATTAATTTTGCATTGACAATGCTATAAAATATAATTGTTTTAAATTGATGTTTTAACTTGTTATTTACTCCCTTAATACAGAGGCGGACTAAAAGAGTGGTTTGCCTCCGGTCCTAGGGGGTCTCCAAATGGCTGCAGATATCCGCCAAAATCATAATAACATTATAAAAAATTGTATGCGTTTGGGTAAAAGCAATATCAAAATTCTGCTTCCGATGAAGTTAGTCCGCCACTGCCTTAACGCTTACAACCTATGCTCACATTATGATGTATTAAATAAATAAATAATCATCCCTTCTCACGTCTTTTATCTTTTCTTGTTTTGCCTGCATAGATACTGACATCTGTAAGTAGAAGCATGGTTTGACATGGAATTTCTCTACTTCATATCTTTTAGAACATTTTAAGCGCTTATACCGACGCTTACTGTACGTCAATTTTTATGACTTCTATCGTTATCCGATTATTTAATCAAAATAAACGAATCCCTTAAGCGTATACGAGTATTAAGATTAGATTTTTATTTGCTAGAATACAAATCATAAAGGTTACAAAATCAAATAATGAAATTGGTACAGTATTCTACCTGAGAACAGGCTTGCAAATATTCTAATTATAATATGTATGTTATATTATAATATATTATGCTTGTGCATTGCAAATTTGAAGTTTTTTGTAACAACTGTGTTTTAAACTAAGTATTAATTGTTTTTCCTCTCTCAGGCCTTCCTAATTGATGGTTAAGGTGGATGGGACATTACTTTCCACGCTGGACCAATACGGATTGGAGTTGCTTAACAATAACGATCGCGGGCCGCGGCGCTTATCCACTACGCCACCGAGCTACACCAACGTTTTTATTAAAATGAAATAAAAAATTGTGGATTTGATTTTAGATATTTATTTAACGTTCTACGTTAAGCAATATTCGTATACTGTATTATATAATTTTAAAGGACAAAAAAGATGTCGCCTCTCGTACACTATGGGCCATTAACTATCCTGTCGTGTCGGCAGTGAAATTGAAAAAGTTTGACGAAAATTCCGGGTTAGATACTTGTCCCGAGACTTTTATTAATTACTCTACTGTGAATGATGATTGGATCCTTCTTCAGGGTCTAGGATTTTCTAGAGCAAAAGATGCTTTTCTGAAGTAAAAAAAAATGTTTTACCTGTAATTTTTTTAAAGACAATTGGTTGTAACCAACACGATACATTTGAAGAGTTTCAATATAATCATCAGAATATTAATGTCTTTAATCCTAAGACACAGCTCTTAAAAAGAAACGAGTCGTATGTAATCTACAACGTGGAGCCAATGCGGACTTCGAAGCACGGGATTCGAAGCACGGGATTCGAAGCACGGCGGAGTTCGAGAAAATAAAGTTTTGTGACTCGTCCGATAGTAATGAGTGTTCAAAAGTGGGAAAGCTTTCCGTCACAAATGTACCATTTAACTAAACTAAAAAAAATCGATGACGTATAGATAAATTTATCAAAAATTGATCTATTCTCCTAAATTATTAGGATAATATCGAATTATTACATGAATAAAACTGTTATTTGAAAATAATTTATGTCATGAATGCCGTTATTTTCTGAGTTAATGAGGAAAATTAAATATACATTAATTGTAGACAATATTAGAAAAATCGATTTTCGATTTCTTCGTTTTGCGACGATCTTGAGATCAATCTGTGTGGCAAAAAATCAAATTAAAAAAACAAAGTCAAAACCAGGGACAAAGTGAATATTTTAAACATTTTTTATTAAGAATATTGGATGTAAAATTTATCAAATATACCTATAATAATAATCGGTAATCGGAATTCTTAATTGAAACGATATAAAATCTTACACACTCTGAAGATCCGATTGGTCTGGACTGTTTTATTGAACTTGCAGACACCCTTAACATCCTTATTAAAAATAACATACTAATGAAGTCACAAATACAAGTAAATAAAGAAAACAATTGTAAGTTAATTATCATAGACCGAGGGAAGGGGATAGTATTTTATGAATGCTCATTTTGAATACAATGTGGGGAGTTTTCATTGCAGAAGTTCAATGAGCTGTTTCAAAAGATACAGTTTAATTGCATATGCTGTTACTGTGTTTGTATTTTGACACATTGTATGTATAGTCTTCATTAAAACGCTTCAACGTCATTTGATTATTAGCCTAGAACATTGAATCGCAGTTAGATTTGGTCACGTTTAGAAAATAATTGGATTAAGATCGATTAATAACTGAGCCAATAATCGAGTGAATTTTGTCATCATCTCAAATGGTAACAAATTATCAGATCAGTTTAGTATAATAACAATATGAAATCCAACTACTCAATGAAAATTTGTCGTGTAAAAGTTACCAGACTCGTCTTCAAAAAGGCAAAAGAATGCCGAGCAAAAAAATATCAAATTGGTTGACCAATTTGATATTTTTTATACAATAATTATCAAGTCAAATATAAATAGAATATTTGAGCCAGATGACTAGCAGTTAACTAATTTTCTAAAAAATACGTAAGACAAAATAAAGACTATAATAAATATAGTTTTTATGTAATACCCATTGAGAAGCCATTCGTAAAGTAGTTTGTAGACTTATTGAATCAGTAAGAATTCTACGTAGGTTAACGAAGTTACGAAAACTTGTATAACTTGTAAGTTCGCAAAGGTTTCCCTTGTAAACAACTTAGACGAATTCTCAACATAAAATAAATAATTTACTTTCTTTACTTTGTACCGTATACTGGTTTACTAAGGAAGTAGATTCGATTAAATATACCTAGAACACGATGCAAGTCATGCTGTGCTCAAATCTGAATTTTGGGTTTTATGGATTTTAAGATTTTTTAACGGACTTTTAAAAGTAATCAGTAATCACTAAATCTTTATTATTGTGTTCCGAAAAATGTTTTTTTTTTAATGGATATATTTCCAAAAGAATTCGATAAACGCTATTAGTTTTGGTACAGCAGTTTTATACACGTGCAAAAATTTGTTATTTCACTTCGCTTATCATTCAAAATGTGATATAGTCTAAGGTTGGGGAAGTAGTCTCAGCAAGGGTAACTTTCTAGTATTGGCGAAAGCATGAAAGAGTCAGATAATATCACATTTGTTTTTGTGTGTTACATTGCTAAACAGCTATTTCTTACAGGCAACGTATTTTAAGAGATGAAATAGGTATATGAAGAAAATTGGTGAGTTTTACTTTATTACTTAAAGATATATAATACCAAAGTAAATTAAATAACGATTACGATTATAAAGGGCTTGATGGCGCTGTTATTCGGCTAGTGTATTGGATAAGTAAGTTACCTAATAGCGGGTCATTGGATAAGGTTTAGACAGGTTAATCCGTTGGTCATAAATGCACAAAAGTTTTTATTGTTGACGCATCTTAAGCTTCAAACCAGAGCTCTACAACCACGTGGATCCAAGAAGGATAACCCGAGAAGGACAGGACAATCGTGGTCAGCCTACTTGGTAAATCCCCCGTAGAATACCCTCGGTAGGAGCCTACGAATCCTTACCAGGTTTGCATGGTGGGTTATGTTTCATTCTACCCAATTCATTATTGGAAGGTTTGTGACATAGCAGGTGGTCCCCCATTAGAAAAAGATTCAAATATAAAACAGCTTAAAGGTTTTAAAAAATATACAAATCAACTATGAATTTAACTCATTTAAATAGTCCACCGTTTTTCCCTACTACTTATTAGGGCTTAAAAGGAAAAGTCTTTACAGACGTATTTTGTTTGCATTTTAGATATGTTTGTGAAAACTACGAGTCTGCGACTAAATTTTTTTCGTTCTAGTTCTAGTAAATAAAGTTTTAATGTGAAAGTTATGACCAGCGATTTGAGCTATCTAGTCCATTAAAATTCGTTTGAACCGTAATCGCTATTTTAATTAGATTTTCATAAGAGCAATATTTGTCCAAACACAAAGATTAAAAAAGTAACTTTTACAAAGCTTCAATTAATTATTTCTTTTAATTAAATGGAATGCTTTAATTTACTGGCACCAGTTACGCGGTCTTTTTTGTATATTTTGCTAATTTGTTTAGGATGGAAGAGCCTCGACAGTTTTTGCTTTCAATGTTTATTCTCTCTTACTTATTTTATTTTACATTATATCCAGTTCAGATCTATTTTAATGCTTGCAATTATAATCAGAATAAACAATGAAAGAATACTGGTCACCCAGTGATATATCAACCTTCACTTCTTTACCGCTTAAGTAAGCTTATTACATTGCTTAAAATATTTTAGATTGAAAGGGTCAGTCTCTAAATTAACGAGCAGTTTTATAATGTACGAGCTGCCCTCGCGAATTTCATGTCACCATTTTTTACGAGTATATAAAGTAAATAGATGTAGTATATGTTATTTCCTGATTATGAAGCTATATACCTATTCAATGTTTCAAAGTGATTAAGTAGTTTTTCTTATTTATCTTTTACTTAAACATTAAACAAAAATCAAATCTTTCCTCTTTTTAATTTTAGAGGAAATCAACCAAATTTAACTATGTATATAAAATACTCAAAATCTTTTCTAAATTATTATTAGTTGTTATATAATATAGTTTATATATATATCATTATTTAAAAAATTAGAAACTTTGAAATAAGTCAAACGAATCAACAAGACCCGGTGCATTTACAGGACTTATTGAAAATTTAAAAAATCTAAATAAATCTAAATCTAAAACCCCTATCAGAAATAATTTTAATTTTTGCACATTTGAATTTTTTCCTCTACGTATAT